AAGCTATCAGATTTCACGTCGCATGGTTGTAAATAATTGTGATCTCTTTGTGCTAAAGCTAAATAGTCCCATTACATACAATCTTTATAGTGTTTTGGATTTCTTGTGGAATGGTAAGAAAACTATAAGGTTTTATGATTTTTTTTTTGTTCCAAAATAAATATTTGTGATAAGGTGGCAGTGAGAGTTAATTGTAACTAGGAAAACCATACATATCAAGACTAATAATTTTGGGGTGGTAACGAGAGTTAGTGTTGACAACGGGCCAGGCCCATGCCGTGGCTCTAGCACGGACTACAAGATATACTATTTTTAAGATTTAAAATCTATCTATTTCATATCCATGATTGTCAATGTTAAAATTATACCATACAAACACCCAAAAACAATTTTTGGTGGCATATGAGCCAAAGTCTAAAAAGAAAACAACAAATGCACAAAGTTAGGTCTCTTTCGAGTGATTCTTGGAAGCTTTTTTATGTTTGTTTGTGTGAAGGGATGTATGACATTTGTTTCTCTATGAATGTATCGCGGTGGATCATGTTGTGTATGCAATGTATCAAGGGCATTTAACTCAGGGTGCGGTTTGTAATAGAGCCTAAGCTTTAAACCAACAAATTAGAGCTTACTTTCAAATAGTGTGTTTTAATACTGAAAATCTTTATGATAGTCTTAAAATATATTTTTATATTTTTTTATAAAGTTTAAAGCTTCAAAAATAGTGTAGATCAACATATCTATGAAAACTTGAAAATATTGAAAATTAACAGTTCAAAAATGTGTTACAAAATACACTATTATGTCTATTCATCTTGATGTCCAGATGATCAATTTAAAGATATTTCGGCATCAAAACAACTTCTTCTAGTGAAATTTTGAAGTAAGCTCGAATTTGATTGTTTAAAGCCTCTGCTCTATATAAACTTTTCCCTTTAACTAACCCAACAATGCAAAAATGATACAACGAGGTTAGCCCAACATTTCAATTGTTATGGTTTAAACTGCAAGCCAGTGTTTGAAAATATGGATTGATGGGGTGAAATGGCCTTCCTAGAAATTGGTCTGGAGCGAAGTAGATTAATTCTCTCATGTGAGAATTAATCCATAGCAATAAAAAAAAATTTGAATAAAATACAAGAAAATAATAAAAAAATAATGTTTAGGAACGGGGCAATCTGGCCGGTCCAGATCAACCAATTCCCTGATAAACTTGTCAAGTATCAGGTTCCTATAAGGAACCAGATCAGTCTGGAAAAATTCCCGGTCCATATCAACAATTCCCAATTCGGACCTTTGGGTTCTAACACACTGCTTTGAACCAACCATATCACCCAATTCGCCGATAAACTTGCCAAGTAGCACCTGGTTCCGATGAGCAACTCGATCAGTCTGGAAAGATTCTCGATCCAGATCGACAATTTCCAATCCGGGCCTTTGGGTTCTAAAACACTGCTTCGAACAAAACGCAACGCATACATAACTATCCACGTGCATAACCCACCAACAATTCAAAACTCCACTGACAACGGTTGTTAGTTAAATAAAAAGGGTGTGGTTTCCATACGGTTGCAACCTTAAACAATCTAATTAAGGTGCACTTGTAAATTTTATCATAATATGTAATTTTGTTGTAAAAAATTCTTAGGATTATCTTAAAATCTATTTTTATATCTAATTAAAAAATTTTAAACTCCAAAAATGATTAAAATCAAGTTGATCTATAAACATATAAAAATCTTGAAAATTGATGGTCTAGATAATATGTTGCAAGATGTACTATTTCTGAGACTCAAAAACAATTTTTTTTTTTATATTCATACGTCTCGATGTCTAGATAATCAGTTATAGGGTTTTTCAACATTATAACAACCTTTATGTTGGATTTTTGAGGTACATCTGTAATTCTACATTTGAAGGTTGCAACCTTATATAAACTTTTTCCAAATAAAAAACATATCGATAAATTATTAAATTATTCATCTCTTATAAGCCGCAGTTCGATAAATTTCGCGCGTTAGAATAACAAACTTCCTTAAAATTTGGCAATTGAGAGAGAGAAAATTGTCCCTTTTGATTTTTAGAGAGAGAATCGTTGCTTGGTTTTGAATTTTTAAGAGAGAGAGAGAGTAGGTGAGACAATGGTTGATTGCTTTTGAACTTTTTATGAGGCAACAAGAACAAATATAAAACTAGGAAAGATTAGGGAAGTGGCATATTCTCAGGTTTCTCCTCTCTCTCTCTCTCTCTCCTCTTTCTCTCTCATTAAAAGAATATTCAGCGGGTATCTCCTTCATCAGCAGTATATTCCCCCTCTTTCAAATGAGACAACAAATCCATTTCACGCCAATCAAACTGGAATTAATAACACACAACAAACATTTGTTTGGGAAATATGATTATATGCTCCACGGGTGCATATTAAGAATTCCCTCCTTTGGGTTAAGGCCTCTATTAGGGGGATTCAAGACCTTCAAGGTCCAAAATAGAAACTAAAGACAATTAGGGACCTTGAAGGTCTTATGTCGAAAAAAATAAAAAAATTAAGGTTCAAAGTTTTATACTTCTGTTCTTTAAGGTTCAAAATATATATCATTTAAAGAAAACAAAAAGAATACATGTGAATCTTATATTAAACTTTGAGGGGATTTTTTGAATAATGATAATTTAGGAGATACATGCATAAATATCTCAAATTTATATGCATGCAGTGTATACATTTGTGCTACAATGGAATACTATCATGAAATTGAACAGAGATTATTCAATTTTGAGACAGTCGAATCTAAATATTTGAGAGATCACAACTTACCCCTTTTTTTTTACTTCTCAAAACTCGCCTTAGTGTTTCCAAAGTGGATCACAAAATTTAATATGGAACAAAATATTTTTCCTTGGTAGGTATTTTGCACAAGGGAATCAGTCCATAATATACTTAATCGGGAGTAGGTTAAAGGCGTAAAATATTTTTAAAAGTTATGAACAAAGTAGAGTTGGTCCAAGAAGGGTGAGGACCTTAAATATTCTTTTAACCCATCCCAAGCTTGGGTCAAGGATGTGAATTGTATTAGGTAGGCAGTCAACATAAAACTTTGTCAAAGCTTTTCATAAATATTGAATCTACGTTATCTTTGAGAGGTTGAGGAAGATGTCGTATATAAAATTAGAGCTTGGTAGGCGAAGTGGAGATGTGCAATTGGAGTTTTATGTGACTGCCGCATACCAATGAGGCTAAAGGGTCAATTCTATAAAACAGTGTAATACCAACTTTGCTTTATGAGGCAGAATATTGGGTAGTCAAGAGACAACATACCCGAATATAGTTCGGATGAAGATATTGAGATGGATGCAAGACAAGAAAATGCTAAATTCAAAATATATACATTCAAGAGAACTTAGATGTGGCTCTAATAAGCAATAATATGACAGAAAGTAGACTTAGGTGGGTTGGTCATGTGTAGCACTTATCCAATACAGTACTTATTAGGATGTGCGAGTTAGTTCAAGTGGAAGGCTAAAAAAAATATTAAATAGGTAAAAAATGACATGGTTGGAATTAGTGAGAAAGGATACGGGGACTTGTAATGTCACTAATGATATGACCCTTAGTAGAACAAAATGGTAGACCAAAATTTGTACACTCGATCCCAAGCAGTTGCATGACACACAAAGTAAAGTACCAATGCAATTCACCCGACTCGTGTTTGTGGTGGAAATAACAAAATATCACAAAACAATGCGATATTTATTCTTCGGATTAGTGACTCTGACTTGATCATTATTCGCCAAAAAGGCATACTTGCCCAAATTCCAAAGCCAAAAGATACTCTACTTCTGCGAGAGTAGAATGTCCATGTACTCCATCACGTGAAATCTATTTAAAATTAATCTACAATCATAAAATTTGAGGATGTTAACTATTCAACCCATAGATGAACCTTAAACAAAAAAAAAAAAAGAAGCTAATTATACCCTCTCTGCACCTAAAAATAAGAATGTCTCGAATTTGAATAAAGACCATTTAATTCTTAGATAGTGGGCTTTAAGTGTTGGGAAATTGAAATTTCACTTTTTTAAAAACAGTCGTCCAATAGTTTTTAAGTAGTTCCTAAAATTTTGAATTAAGTGTGGTTTATATAAGGTCACAACCTTAAACAATCCAATTAAAGCACACCTCCAAATTTTATCATAATAAGTAATTTAGGTATAAATAATTCTTAAGATTATCTAAAAATCTATTTTCATATCTATTTATAGAATTTTAAACTCCAAAAATGGTTAAAATTAAAAGATCTATAAACATACGAAAATATTGAAAATGGATGGTCTAGATAACATGTTGTAAGATGTACTGTTTCTATTACTCTTTTTTTTTTTTCTTATACATACATCTCGATGTCGAGATGATCAACTGGAGGGTTTTTTAAACATTAAAGCAACCTTTTTCCAATGAGTTTTTGAGGTGCATCTTTAGTTCTACATTTTAACCTCAAAAACCCATTGGAAAAGGTTGTTTTAATGTTAAAAAACCTCTAATTGATCATCTCGACATTGATATGTAAGAATATATATATAAAAAAAAAGACTTTGTGTCCCAAAAATAGTGCACCTTGCTATATATTATCTAGACTGTTCATTTTCAAGATTTTCATGTATTTATAGATCTACTTGATTTTAATCATTTTTTGTGGTTAAAATGTTGATATATAAATAGATTTTGAAATAATCTTAAAAAAAAATTTCAATAAAATTACATATTGTGATAAAATTTGGAGATACGCCTTAATTGGATTGTTTAAGATCGCAACCTATAGAAACCGCACCCTAAACTTTTTCCTTCAATAAATCTTCCCAAATGGTCACCTTACCGAGGGAGTTGAAGTAAAGGATGCATAGTCTAAAATCCAGAACACTTGCGGGTCCCATGCCAGCCAATCAATTTCAGACACGTGGCCTCTTCTAGAGTGGGGGCCCATCTCTCTAAAACCCTACAAACAACCCTTCCTTTCCCGCCTGAGAAGCGCAATTTGTGGCCTCCGCTGCTCTCTCCACACGTGCGCCAGCTCCTTCTCCACTGTAAAATTCGAAATTTATTTCCTCCCTTTTTTTGGGCAATACTTTTATCTCTTGATTTCTCCCGTTAATGGTGGTCAGAGCAGCTCTTCAGCGCTAAATCCGTTCTATCTTCCTTTGGTCTCTGCGTTTATTTCATATTTTTGGCAATAATTTCCTCCCTTTTGATTGTTAATGGAGTTTTGAGGGGATTGTGGGGCGAAATCCAGTGGCGTTTGCCCTAATTCTTGGTTTCTAGGGCTTCTTGCACATTTTTCCTTTAGTAGAAGTTGATTTCTCTCTTTTCCTGTTGATGGAGGCTTCAGCATTGTATAGGCGTTGAAGTATGTCGCATTTTGCTCTGTTTCTTCCTTTCTAGGGTTTTGATTGTATTCATTTCATTTGGGGAAATATTTCCTCTAAATGAAGGTTTGAGGGGTATTCTAGGGCTAAATCTGAAGGGATCGGCTTATTTTGTGAGAATTAGGTATTTGAAAATGCTTTCTATTGAAACCCTAGATTCCGTGTTGGCTTTTGCGGGCAAGGCCTGTTGCAGTGGAATTGCCATCTTCATTCAGATCCAGGTACTTGATCTGTTCATTTCGAAAGTTTTTGCTTTTCTTGCTCCTTTTTTTATTTCTTATTTTATTCTTTTGTATTTGGATTCTGTTTTTTCAAGGCATTATGTATCAAATGCTTTTTTTGTGTTTTCTAGGAATCTGGTTTTGCATGGAATTTTATTTAACATGTTGTTTTGATGTTAGTTTATATGTAAACCCTGGGCTCGAGTTAATGTTTGAGTTAGCCTCTCATGAGGCTGTCTGAACTCTCTCTCTCTCTCTCACTTTCTCTCTCTATTTTTTTTAAAAGTCTATTCTTTATGGATTTTTAATGCTTGAATTGGGGATTTCATGTGTTTTGCCTGTTCAGTCTCTGCTTTTTACATTTTTAATTTTTTTGGGTTAGGGGTTTCGTGGATGTGATGCTTTTTGGTTTTTATTTTTAGTGCAACATTTTCTTGATAAATTTATATTATTGCGCCTTAGCTTGATATTTGTTTGCCTTATGATGCTTAATTTGCGGTTTTCATGAGACCAAAATGTGAAATTTCCTCCTTCAATTATTGATTTGTTCATCTTTTTAACTTCAGGGATGCCTGATCTGTCTAGTCCTTGCACTGGGTTGGGTGTTTGCTGCGTATGTCAGGTATTTGCTCTTTATATTTGGTTGTAGTTATTTGAGGAGCTGCTGATTCTCTCCAGTTCTCTCATCTTTAAGTAAGAAGATTTGATGTTTTAGTAATTGACTGTACCATCCTGTTTGGTCATCATCATCCTCACAGTTTTTTGAACATGACCAACACAAGATCCTAATAGTTATGTCATTGGTGCTTGTTTGTAGGACTTAAACTGATAAGTGATTGGCATACTCTGGAAACTAATTTTGCACAATTATAAGGATATTGAATTTTATCGAGCATGGCACAGAAGAGCTGAACTAATTCCAGATACGCCAACATTTGAGAAATCAAACTTTAGCGAACACTTGAAGTCTATGAAATTGGACCAAGCAGGAGCCCCTGGAATGGGTGTCTGGAAAAATTGTTGTGGCGACGTATCTCGGCATTGTGATGATTTGTCCACAGTAGAACCTGAGAAAGATTCCTTTTCACACACAAAAAAAAACAAACCTAAGAAAAAGTATTACTTCACAGGCAAGAGTTGTGGTTATACCTCTTTTATACTGATGGAGGGTAGGAAAAGAAACCAAAGAAAATCTCAAGGAACTTTGGAGTTGGTACATACATAGGCCAAAGTCCCCGTCGTCTTCTTTCTCTTGAAGTCATCTAGAGCATCACCCAAACCCAGCATAACCCTCTGCAGTAGTGAATCCTGCTACCTTCTTCTGGTGAAGAAAATAAAGGAAACTGTGAAAAAGAAAAAGAACTAAAAGTGTTTAAAAATCAGCTAGAAAACGAAAAATTCTGCCTTTCTTATCACAAATTGTAACTCTGACATCGCCTTGTGATTTAAACTAAACTTCAACCCATGCAATACATATTCCTTTACCTGAGATATATGGAAAATCCTCCTCTCTTTTTGAGTTTCCCTCCAAGTTGATGTGGAGAATTCTTTCTTTGACTTGTTGTTCTCGCTTTTTTTTTGTACTCTATTACTGTTATAAAGAGGTATTACAAAGTCCTTCATTGACTTGTTTGTTCTCTCTTCCATTCATTTGCTCTCTCCTCCTCTTTCCTGAGGGAGGGTCAGAGGGAATGTTTTGGGATATTTGCATGATTTTACGGATTTGATACTGAAGTTAGAGTCTCCCAACTTGGGATGTAGATTTTTAAAGAAACAGAAGTGCTCAACTTTTAATGTATTGGACTGTCTGGCTACTTCTTATTCTTGGCAATCACCCAAGTCGGGCATGATCGGACCCTGGCGATTCCTGAGGGAGAAGCCCAAAATTTTGGTTTGTCTCCCAATACCAGGTTTCCTTTGGTTATTTTTTGTCAAAAATTGGCCAAGGTGACCTAAAACTTGGCTTCGGACTTGGTTGTTTCTATGATGGAACTTGGGCCTCAAATCTGTAGTTTCAAACATTGCTTTTATTTGTTTAAGACAAACTTTTAAGTAAACCACTGCTATTGTTTAACTAGTACTTCAAATATTTCTATAAAAGAAAATAATGCTTCGAATGCATCAGATTTGTACCTTCCAATTATAATAAAACAATACTTATAGAGCTTGTTGGAGACATCCAACCTGTCATGGCCATCCAAATATACCATGTCAGACACCCCAAACATGGCTACAAGGGGTTCAGTGGGACATGGTGGCCATTATCCTGTGTTCGGTTTGTCCAACAATTGCCTATATTAGATTCTTTGCATTTTTTTAAGTCCTTATAAAGCTTGAATAAGAAGTTTTATGAATGCATATTTTGTCTTTCAGGAATCGAGAAATCCGACGGATAAAAAATGCAATCAAAGGTGGTAACCATTTTGCATTTCTCACCACAGATATCTCTAACCTTGAGCATAGTGCTCAAGTCAACTTGCCAAAGGTGTCTGTTGTTATGCCTTTGAAGGGGTTTGGAGAACATAACTTGCGGAATTGGAGAAGTCAGGTGAGAAGTCACTGCCAACTGTGTTCTGCGTATATGCATACGTTTATGTGTGTATGTACATGCGTGTGTGTACACGTGTGCATGTACGTGTGTGCGCATGCTAAGGCTTGTTCTTAGGAAGTATAAACATGGTTCTATTTATCTATCTGTCTGTCTATCTATCTATGCAATACCATGCTTTAAAAAGTGTGGAAAGTATCCTATAATCCAATGTATTCTGGTCATCACTGTATATTTTAAGTAATGATCATGCTTTGGAAAAGATACATGGATTTTGTCCAACTCAAACCTCTTTTTCACAATTTTTCATTTTCTGAAAGATTCCATCACTCTGCTTGCTATTGCCCATTCTTCCTTTTTCTTGACTGGTATATGTCTGCCTTTCTATGTTTTTTGCTACTAAGATTTAGGCTAATCCATTATCATTTTATCTATAGAAATGTTAAAGCTATTTCCTTATTTTTATAATATTTAAAAATACCTAGTCAACTCACTGTTTGATTTTTGTCTTTGACCTTAATTGAGTACGCAGTCTTGGGTTCCAAATCTACATGATATAAATTAATTTGTATCATGTAACTTTGTAGTTTCATGGCCGCACTACCTTTATTGGATGTAGTATGTTATGATCTTGTTTATGAATCTAATATTATGTACATTGTGTGGATTTCTTTTGGATCGTTGGGGCAGCTTATTATAACAGAGCTGCACGTTTTCCTCATCTTCTTTGTGAACTTTATCATGCAGATTACTTCTCTCTATGGTGGACCTTTGGAGTTTCTTTTTGTAGTTGAAAGCAGGGATGATCCAGCTTACCATGCTGCATCCCAATTGATTTTGGACTTCAAGGTACACCATTTTGCCACTGTAATGACAGTTTGGTGATAATATGTGCATATGAAGATGACATATCGTCCCTCATATTTAAAGGAAGATTGACAGGTTACTAGGAAGCAGGGGTTAGCTTCTTTTACTTAAACTGCTTATGTGGGGGTGTCTTCATGACAGTTTGAATTGGTCTTGTCATAGTTAAGTAGTCTAAACTTTTTTTTGGAATGGTAGAACATAGAAAACTCGTATAAACACTTTGCATATACCTAAATGAAGCTGAAGAGTAGTTTCTATGTGGTGCTTCCAGATTATGTTACCTAGGAACAAAAACAGGAGTCATTTGCAAAATCTATATACGGGACAATAAGTTTTTAAACATGGACCTGGGTATACATGTTTGCAATTAAAAAATGCATTATAGAAAAGAGGGTTGCTGATCAGGTAGAGAGGCTTCGGCTGGTACATAGGGGAATGTGAAACGTCCCCATAAAGTAGATAGATCCCGCATGATTAGGGGTGCTAGATGTTTCGGCATTGAGGGCCTCAATCCATGTCTGGCGAGAACTTCTTGCAATTCCTCCCTTTTATTTAATTGATAAATTTGAATAGAAAATTTTTTAAGCATGGAGTTTGGAATCTTCCTAGACCATAGAGATATTTGTGAATGTCTTCCCAAACCTCTTAGATACACTTTTTTCAAACATGTGCCTAGGGCCTTTGAAGTTTCTCATGTGCATTCTATGTGATATTTGATATTTGAAGGTGGTAGATTTGAATCCGCAAATACTAATGTGTCCATAATGGTCCCTTGGCCCTTTGTAAGTTTCAAAGTTTGGAACCAGGTGTAATAGTTATGTCTGTTCGGTGCATCAGTTACAGTAAGACTCAATTTGAGTTGCTGTTTGATTCATTCTACATCGCTAGTCAATTTTGATATGTTGAGTGTTGATGAAACATTTGAGTTTGTGCATAAGAAGTACCCTATTTAAATGAGTGATGATCTGCTTGTTGCTTTGCATGTTTTCAGGTTGAGGTGTTAAGTGTATGCTGTTAATGAATTTCTTTCCTCATTCTGTTGTGATCTAATTATTGTTGGTTGCTTTCAGGGCACTGTTGATGCCAAAGTCATTGTTGCTGGATTGTCAACAACCTGCAGTCAAAAAATTCACAATCAGTTGGTATTCAAAACTTATCCCCAAAGCTAGAATTGTGAATGCCATACATTCATTTTTCGCTTTTCAAATGTTGTTCATCTCGGGAATGGGAAACTATATCTGTTATATAGTGTGGGGACTAAGGAAATAAATATTTATTTCATATCTTCTACTCTATTTTGTCACTCCATTATTGAATATCATTTGGAAATGCAAATGCTTCTGTATGCCATTGCTACTCGCAAAGATGCATGCATTTGTAAACCAGAACTAAAGTTTTGAGTCATGATTCTCTGTACAGGCCGGTGTGGAGATGATGCACAAGGATAGTAAATATGTCCTCTTCCTAGATGATGATGTCAGACTCCATCCTGGATCTATTGTTGCCCTTACTGCTGAGATGGAGAAGAATCCTAAGGTCTGTATAACTATTTCAGTTTGTTCTGTTTCAAATTTCAAACTTGGTCTACCTTTGGAACTAATATGCATTGTGTTTTAGTTTCTTAGAACCTTTATGTTATATTTTGAATTTTTCTGGCTTAAGTTTAAAATATGTGGGCAATGGCTTTCAGACTATCTCAAAGTAGCTGAAAATTGCATGTCTTGCAGATATTTATTCAAACCGGATATCCTCTTGATTTGCCTTCTGGGAGTTTAGGGAGCTACTGTATTTATGAATACCACATGGTATGATACAATCTGTAACTTTTGAATCGTCTTTTGTTGTATTTTACCTGCTCCTTGTTTATTGCACTTCTGAGATGACAAACTTGCTGTTGTCATTTTCTCAACCCCCAACTCCTCCCCCTGCCCCTGCCCCTCACAACCCAACCACCACAACCAAACATCACCAAAAAAATTTCTTCTTTCTCATAGTCTTGTTCTACAATATACTCGTCTATTATGAATGTATAGCGTGGCCCAGAAATTTTCTAATGTTTTGTCACAGGTTTGCGCCATTTCTTTATCAGTGATTTGTTGGGGTGACGTTCTTTTGCTTGCTATGTAGAGTGTGTCACCCAATTACTAGCATAAGGAAGACAGGCTTTATGTTATTTGCAGATGTCATGGCTGTAGGTGTCTTCTCGTATTCTTGGTGTTTTTCTTTGTTTAGTGCACCATCCTCTTTTTTGAGAATAGTATTGCAGTCCATTCATAATTTTCATACTTTTACCCCTTTTGCGTTCAAATGCAAGTTATTCATCAGAACAAGGTCTGCTGAATTGCATGAACTATGTATTCTTCTGGTGAGAAAAAATGATTCTGTAATTTCCATAATCTTGTTCTAATTCAAGGGATGTTGTTTCAGCCTTGTTCAATGGGATTTGCTACTGGTGGGAAGACGTTTTTCTTGTGGGGTGGTTGTATGATGGTATATTCTCTTCGTTCTCTTTGAATGTCATAATTACAATGGATCGGCATAAGTTGATAACTTGATATTCTTTGATACTTGTCTTGTGTTTCTTTACTTGTGGACAGATGCATGCCGATGATTTCAGAAATGACCGATATGGAATGGTTTCTGGACTTAGATATGGTGGATATTCTGATGATATGACACTTGCTGCTGTTGCAGGTATTTCTTCATTTCTTTTCTCTTTAAATAATGTTAGTATTCAATATTTATATGGTGGCAAATTTTCACTAGTTGGCATCCCTATGATTAATCTTGAATGAGAAGTCTAAGCACTTCATCTCCTAGAAAAATATTCACCATTGTGATCAGATTGGGACATGGCTATGGTATCAATTTTTGGTGATGTTTTAGATGTGCTTTAAGTATCAAAAATGGAATTGGCACGAAATTGCAAGTGATTTACTTAGATGTTAGACCATAAAGTAAGTATTGGTTATAAAAAGGGGAATATCAGTATGTTACATTCGACACCTACATGAAATATTAAAGCTTGCCTTGGCACATCGATTTTTCCTAGAATGACAACTTTACTCTTAGTCACTTTTCTTATTTGATACTTTTAAACATTGATATGGAATTGGATTAGTCATTTAATAAAAATGACAGTTCCAATTACTATTTTTATATTTCAAGTTTTTAGACCACTTGCATGATCTATGCAAGTGTTCATCCTAATACTTCTAATAATTTGTTGGTCTTATAGTAGCTGGATTGTTGCTATGTAGGCTATGCAATCATGTTCATGCTTGTGTGTGTCTTTGTTGTACATGAGAAATTAGTGAGAAATTAGACTCTAGTTGATTATGGGGCAATACACAAGCTGATGCATTCCAAATGATGACAGTAGTTTACAAATAAGTATATTAATCCAGATCAAGCAGGTTGTCAAATTGGTGATGTCTGTTTCAATTCGAACCATGCATCTAGTGATCTTGACTGGTCAGATTGTTTTAAAACAAATAAAACTTAAAAAGAAAATTTTAGTTAAAATCTCCAAGAAATGAGAGAGATTTAGAAAATTATGCTGACAAATAAAATGTTCTTATTGTTTTTCTTGAAGTATATTTTGTGAAAAATACTTTTCTGGTTTAGTTTCAAAATTTATTTATAAAAAAATTTATTGTCTTTTCTTTTTCTTTTTTTGTTTGGGATGGAGGTCTGCTGGTGATCCCATCGCCACTCATATTAGACACGAAATACCCATTGCCCTTTATTGTTGGTAATTTTAAGTGGGTTGTTTTGCAATTTGCATCATTTTCCAGGGATAGTGATGCCATATATGCTGTGAAATAAGGGCCGACTCTTAGCCATGAAAATCTATCACATGCATTGCATGTCATTGATTTGTCGAATGTTGGGCATTGATGGTAACTTTTCTTTATCGTCTTAAGAAAAAAGGGTATATTGACAAAACTATGTTGGATTAAATTTAACTAAAAATGAGGGACACGCATATTACATTTGCTTTCATTGAGACGGTTGGAAAACCAAATTGTTTGTGCGCATGCATCTGCATGCACGGTATACATTCTTAATGTACAAGTATGTATGGAGAGGGGGGACACTTATGCCAATATCAGGATAATGATTTATTCAAATCTTGCGGACAGATTCTGGAGGTTCATTCATGTAATGCAACAAGAGTTTGCAAAGTTAGTTTCCAGAGTCGAATAACTTTAGTCTGTTCAATAATTAAAGGCTTAATCTTTGTGAAATCTCTTATGCAGGTGCAAATAAGAGGCTTATAACTTCTCCCCCTGTTGCTGTTTTCCCTCACCCTCTGGCAACCAATCTCAGCTTTTTAAAGTGAGGACCTTCTCTTTCAGGCTTCAATCTATTTACAGTTCCCTTCTCTGATACTCAATGCTCTTTGTTGCGCCTAATTCCTCAACTTGTAATGTTTTTGCTATCATGTAGGTATTGGAACTACTTAAGGAAACAGACATTTGTCCTCGAGTCCTACATATCTAAGGTTAACTGGTGGATGAATCGTGCTTTGTTCTCTTCTCACTGCTATTTGTCCTGGGGATTTGTTGCACCATATGTCATGGCATTGGTTCACATCGCAGTTGCACTCAGAGCAAGATTTGGGGACTATCCAGACCAACAGACATGTGACCATGGTATGAATGGAGTTTGTTGAAGTTTTTATTTAGTCGCTATAGCTTTGGTGTAATGTGCCGCGAGATATGCCAAATTGAAAAAACCTCCGTCTTCTGGTGTACATGCACATTTGTCAATGACCCACCT